TGTATGCTTGTAACATATCATATATTGCACTCTCGATTTCGATTCCTTCTTCACAGGCAATCTTTGTTGTTTTGTTGATCAGCTTATTGAAATTTTCCACTTGGTCCTGCGCCTTCGGATGTATTGGTGTTACTCGCTTGTGGTGAAATCCCATTTCTTCAGCAAAGGTTTAGGTTTGGAATTGTTCACAATTGAATGGTGGACCGTTATCAGTTTGTAGTATTCGAGGTATTCCAAGGCCAAGCCCTCCTGTGCCTTCATCAAGTGTACCGATTCTGCAGTCAAACTCTCGGCGCCCGCTACGGTGATCAACATCTCTTTGATACCACAAGTATGCTCGCAAGTTCCTTCCACATGCCCTGCATCCCAATTAAATGTTCCTCCATGGGGAGGTGCAGTCTTCAGTACAAATACGGCCGTAAAGACGCTAATAAATACCTGCCCCATTGACAACTATTTAACAATATTTTATGTTATCATGACTGAACACGGTACTTTTTATCGTCATTTACAATCTTCCGTTGAGTTGTATGCGGTACAGCTTGTAAAGATCAAGGACCTCTTCGATAAACGAATGTATTCTGAAGGAAAGCTAACCTGGATAACAAGCTTGTTCCCTGGAAGGTTTGACATGACTCGTCCAGTTTTAGATCTTTGGGGAAACGAGGAGGAGCTCTCCATATCTTGCCTTGGTCCAAGTAAAACCAGTTACAACAGTTTCTGCAGTTCTCAAGCTTGTCCCTCCCCTACGAAGACGTTTGTTTCACATTCTATTTCCCTAAGGTGTAAAATTCTATCCATGCCTTTTACATGAAATTGAACCTGATTTTTTACTAATTTGAAGAACTACTGTTAAAATTTTGCGGTGTATTTTCGTTTCAGCGATGTCGGTGTTTCACCACCTGGACTGTTACAGGCTGCTCTAGATGACTGGGTTGCCACTGATGCCAAGCAGTTCCAGTGCAACCTTACCCTGCGATGCCATATCCCTGATGCACCGTGCTCTCTTCAGATGACAAACACCATTCATCCAACAACTGGTCAAATCATGTAAGATTTTTATCATACAGAAGTATATATAATAAAATTTAGTCGCTTGCAAAAGGGTGAACTACTTTAAATCGAATGCAATTTACGATCGTTTTTATATAGGCAGCTGTTACAATATTGCTGTGGAGGCAAACGCACCGTCACAAGACGTAAATTTCTTGGCGGCACTCCTTCATTCCTGCCAATTCCATTGGACTACTTCGTCTATAGAGGAATTATATATGATGCCAGTCAGCTTCCCGATACTATATCACTGTATAATGAAAAGTAGGTAGCAGTTACTGTTAGCATTGATTTAATTTATTAATTTTATACTTGCAAATGTTTTCCATAGACTCAATAATGATTTTAATGAGAGATTTTTACACTTGAAATTTATATTAAAAGCTTCCTCTTGATCGGTTGCACGTCCTTCAATGGACAGCATTACCGGGGCGCAGTGAAGAGATATGATCACTGGTATCACTACGATGGTATTTGGGAACGTTCCTCGCTCGGCTCTGGTTTACAGAAAGGGAAAAAAGCAACCCCTTCTGGATATGTTCCCTCAAGCTGCTTGTATGTATGTGAAAGGTTGATGTAGTGGTGAGTGCATGTCTACGTTTTTGTGCTCCACTTGAAAAATTCTAGATTAAATCACATTTTAAATATAAGTTTCAGAGCGCTGTTCACTCATTAACTGGCATTGCGCCAAATACGCCCTACTTTGGTATTTCCTCTGTCTGATGCCAGCCGATTTTTACTCGTCAGTGGTAGAGTACTGCCTGCCAGTAAAATGGGTTACACGTGATCCAATTTTGATCGGGGCTATTGTCTACGTTTCGTAGACCAATGATTTAATGCTGTATATTCAAATACATTCTTCATCCGGAATATATTAACCATACGTGAATGACCGTTTTATAAAAATACTGAATGCAGGTATTGATTAACGCCATATTAAAAATTAAAAAAAAATATCGTGCACGCCCAATATTCAATAAAAAATAATCGTGCGGAGTCGGTGAGGTCCAAAAAGAAATCGAGCACTCTCAAAAATGCGCCCCCCCCCCATGAAAAATCAAATGGTCCGTCCCTAAATCAAATTGTCTGAAATTTTGTACAGTAATTAATTAAAAACCCAACAAATTGTCCATCTATTAACTCGAAATATGATTAAAGCTTTTAAATATCGTGCGCAAGCCATTTTTAGTTTGTTGGAAAAGACACCCCCCCTGATTCACAAAATTTAAGTTGGAGAACTTTTTTTCATTATTCTACATTATAAGTACCCAAAGAAGCTATATACATCAAAAGCTGGATGCTAATAGCTGTTTTGCGAAATTGAGAGTAATTTTAAATCTGTTCAGTTTTTTTTATACACCCTGTAGCGATACGGACTTGATCGAAGTCTAGGCTTTGTTTTGGTGGCATCTTTATGTTTGAATAGCTTTGTCTCTTTTGCCCACCCTTCGATTTCCATTGGCTATTGGAACTAATGGCATTTATATCTTGTCTTTTCTCTGCCGTGTTACTTTAACTCGTTCTGCTATTTTCAACAGCTTCTGTTGATCGTATGATATCTTGTGCTGTCTTTTATATGAGTTCAGGGTTCATTTGAAGCCTTTGCGAGAGAATGCACGCTTCCGGAAAGTACGTCACCTTGGCTATATAGTATAGAGCCTCGTTTTCATGACTGAGACATTGGGCTTTGACTGATATCAGATACATGAAAACGAGACTCTATAGCCAAAGTTACGTACTTTCCGGAAGGGTGTATTGAATCTTTCAGACCAACAACAATGCGGTCACTTATCATTTGGTCGTGCAAATCTCCATATTCACAATGTTCAGCTAACGTTTTAAGCATTCGTTTTAAATCAGCTAAAAATTTTTTATCCGCCCAAATTAGAAGACATTTTTTACCCCCCCCCCCCACTTATATTAAAACAAAAAATACACCCCCCTTCCCCATGTTCGCCTCTCCTCAAAATACGTTTCAATTTCATCAAATTTTAAGGCCTGACTCCACAACGGCGAAATTCTTCGCGAGAAATTGTGTCTGCGAAATGTGGATGGCTGCGCATAAGCGATTCTATTGAATTTGGTCACTTTATTCGCTTTCGCAGTGAGCAGAACTGACTTCTACTCATTGGCGAAGCGAAATTATTTCTTGCCACGCCTAATTTATCTTTACTGCGCATGCACCTAATTCATTTCGAGCGACATGATTTGCATTTCGCCGAAGAAAGCGCCCGTGGAATCAGGCCTTTACTGCAGTAAGAGTTTTTCAGTAGATGTTTATTTTTAACAAGGGTACTTTGTGTTTTCCAGTTTGAATTATATTTGATATTAACTATTTTGCACATCAGAATTCATTTTGTTATACCGTAGTACGTCAAATCCAAGTAAAACATTAGCATCCCCCCTTCACATTAGGAGAAAACTTCACCATCCCCTTTTTAGTCACTAAATGTTGAGATCCCCCCTCAAAATCCTCTGCCCCTCCCCCCTGTAGTATGCATAATGAATGCAGCCTAAAATCAAAAGGGTCAGGCGGTTTATACGCCATTGCCATTTCAATTTACAAGTAGGGCATGTAGGGGCTGTTTATATGGTCCCGCTTACCCGGGAAAGAAGTTATGTAGTGGTAGATTCAACAACATTTGTTTACTGTCTAAAACATGGAATTTCATACGATTTGTAACAAGCAATTTTGTTAGATCATGAAGTGCGACTTATTTCAATTGCTCAAAATACTTCACACTTCATTTGAATCCCGGGTAAGCGGGACCATATAAACAGCCCCTAACGCTGCTACCATGTGGTGTTAGTTAACTTGCCAACTAACCAATAATACTTTATTCATGACATGCTACTTATCAAAACTGTAACTGTATAATCATAATGGAAAAATAAATATCTATCTATATCTATCTACTTATATACACAATGTGATATGATTATGTACATGCATAATTAATAATTACTATCTAGTAATCTAATAAGACTGCACAGAGGCAGCCTCGTACCCAGGCGCAAATAACGTACTAAAAACAGCAACACTACAGTTTTTTTTATATAGATCAGTGGCTGAGCGAGCGCGCGGGGGTGCTTGGGGAATCCCGTCGTGTGTTGACCTAGCACCCCCGCGCGCTCGCTCTCTTAGCCACTGATCTATATAAAAACACTGTAGTGTTGCTAATTTTTAGTACGTTATTTGCGCCTGGGTACGAGGCTGGCACAGAGGACTGATAGTTGTATTTCTCGCAACTGCTTCTGGTTAAGCCTAATAAATGTATAAAAATTTCACATCCGTTCAACAATGGAATAAAAAACGGCTGAGTAAGAGACAACCGTCCATTGGTTCATTACTAGTTGCTCCGTACTTCGCAACTCCACACGTCCGCTCCTCGCATTCTGATTCTGCTCGCTAAAAGAAGGCGTCTGATCACGTGACTTGTTTCAAGCCTCGTTCCAGCAGTTCACCATCTACATGTATTTTGTGGCGGTTTGGGAGTTCTTGTTGGCAATTTGGCATCGCATGATTTAGACTTTTCTTGGTCAAATTTCGTCGACTTGACGTTCTTTTATTTATATGATAACATTCTACACGTCTTCGTTTCAAATGTACGTGACAGAACGTCTCGAAGCTTGCTGAAATTCGACGAAATTAATTTTGATTATATTGCTGCAGAAGAGAGACACAATCCGACATTTACAAAATTTGGTATTAGTTTATAATACTGATTGGAAGGATTTTTCTCAAAATGCCTGCTGTCAAAGGAGAAGGAATGCGCGGACTGTCTGTTTTTATATCCGACATCAGGAATTGTAAGTATAACTTCAATTGACAATTTTCACAATTTCAACGTCCTTCGATCTTGTAGTATATTTGTAGTAACCTATATAGAATGAGTGATCGTGTCCATATACTATTGCCATTTGAGTTCGTATTTATTGAAATCATCTCAATTCTTCTTCAGGCAAATCAAAGGAATCGGAGCTGAAAAGAATCAATAAAGAACTTGCGAATATAAGATCCAAATTTAAAGGTTTGTTTTTAATAGCATTTGGGTGCTGACGAATTGATATTTCCTCGTTATAAGTGTCGGCACGTTCAGACTTGAAGCATTAAAACTGAATTCTCGTTTACATTTATAGTACCTAGTCGTATTATAAATGTTTGCACAGTCATAGGGACGCTTATACGATGAGCTATAAAGAATGTTGAATTATACAGTCAACGTTTGATTTCATATTGTAAAAAATATGTTTTTTCAAATCTCACATATGGGCATTGTGTAATATTTAATATAGTTGGTTTCAAATTAATTCTACATGAATCTAATTTGGCAACATTTGAAATTTCACAAGATATTAGAAACAAGATTATGAAATAAGATGTATTCCTGGTTTCCTAACAATATGAAATAGATCAGATGTAAAGTCATGTCAGCATATAAATATTCATACAAAAATATGCACAAAAAAAGCTCATTTGTGACACAGCTCAGGGTTTGAAATAGTGGCTACTTAAATTAAGGAGAAGCAGTCGAGATGCCCAGTTTGTGGGGTACGACAAGACTCAATGCGATCTAATGCATGCAAAATAATTTAGTGTCTTGTGGATAGACAGGTATCTTAAATCTTCACTCTCATTTACCGTAATTCTCATTAAATTAATTAAGCTGCAAGCTGCAATATGCCCAAATGCATCCATTTGTCTAAATGTCAGACAATTTTACTTATCAAGGGGGGAGTCTTTAATAGGTTATTAAGCTTTGCCAAATATGGTAGTGCCAATAAAAATTTTGACATTTCGAGTGAAGGCCCCCAAAGTGCCGTTGCTTGAAACTTCGAAGGTATTTGCTTCGCTATCAACAAAAACCTGTACTTACACCAAATACTTACAGTCAAACCTGATGTTTGCTTGCGAGCAACATTGCAATATTGTCTCAAAATATTGCAATTATGATAGGCAGATTGCAATTTGCAAGTGATGCGAACAAACTGCAAGTTGAAATTCACAAAAGATTTGTAAACAAAGTCTCTGATTGGATTATAAGAAAAAGGGAAGCTCCAATCCAGTTGCTCAGACTATTTGATTGGCTTTACTTTTTGCTAACAGTCCAATCAGAGACTTTGTTTACAAATCTTTTGTGAACTTCAACTTGCAATTTGTTTGCGTCACTGGCAAATTGCTCAGAGCAATCTGCCTATCGTATTTGCAATATTGTGGGACAATATTGCAATGTTGCGTGCAAGAGAACATCTGGTTTGACTGTAACATTAACATAAACAATAAATACGCAAATGGCAGGCACGCCAATTGTTCAATAACACAAACAAACATTTTAATTGAAAACAACACAAATTTCCACATGAGAAACTACAAGATTTATTACATGTCACACAAACTGATTTCCACATTTGTGGGTTCTCTGCATTCAGCATTGTAAATGTTTGCTAGAGCCAATTAATCAAATTGAATACAATGTCTTAGGCCAAATAATGTGGATTATATTTATTTTATATGCGTAGAACACAGGGTCTTAGCTAGGATTTTAGATCTTGGGCGTGTTTCGACATGACCAGGGTGTGCACATGTCAATTACCTTGGATAGCCAAATTCACGGTTCTAGTTATGCTCGCCAACAACAGACAATGCGTGTGGTTGTTCTATGCTTTGCAACCAAATACAAGGCGAGCATCCACTCATATTGCGCACTGACATTAAAATATTAAGTTATTTTAGCAACTCTTGGGCCCAGAATCTTGGGGGTGTATTTAAAACCATTTTAACACCATAAGGTTCCCATTACCCATCAAAACGTTAAAACACCATGGATAAGTTTTGCCAATTTCAACAACTACAGTAGATTTTACAAACTTTCTTATGACGTAAATAGGAAGAAATTCTGTCTGTTGTAAGCAGTAACACCTTACTTTATGAACCTAAACGGCCTTATATAAATAATGAAGCCGCATTTATTTTATCTAGCCGTGTTTTTCCATTTTTGGCTGCAATAACACGGCCCTCTAGCTAAGAGCCTAGTAGAACATACAATATGAGTCATTATATTAAAGGAACAAGCTTTCGTTTGTAGGGATGCAACTACCTGAAAATATATATGGTGAATTTTGAATTCGCCTTATACTGTATATGTCATCTAAAATTAAAGGATGGTTTTCATCAGTTGGCGAATGTTGATTCTGTTTAATTGCCTGTTGTAATTCATCCATGACTGTCCCAATAAATAAAAAAGTGTTTACGACTGTGTGCAGTAGTTGCAGGCACTCTGCGATAATAAAACAAATTAAAACTTTTTTACAACTAAATTTTACAATTCCCTGGATACTCTGAAAGCATGAGTTAGTCTTATCAGACTATGGTCTGTGGTTCCTAGTCTGAGTTGGTAGGTAATGTTTCAGATTTCAAGTAGATGATGTTTGGGCTATGTTTGGTGTTAGGTTTTGTGGTTGTTGAAGTCATGTTTTCAATGTATTTATTGACTATAGCACCACAGGTTGTTAAAGTAGCTGGTAACGCGAAGTTGCTCCTAAATGCAAGATAACATTATAAAGAATAATTAGAGGAATGTTGCTGGAAATAATCATGCAACCTCAGCAGCACAGGCTACATTGAGTAGCAGTACTCTCCCCCCTGATGAGTAAAATCATCTGTTGTTAGACAGAGTAAAATAATAAAGTAGGGTGCATTGCCACTTACAGATTAACCCATTAAGCTGCAGAGCTTCCCCATTGACAAGTAAAATCGTCTGGCGTTAGACAAGTAAAAAAAAAGTAGGGCGCACTGGGGCGTATTGCGGCTCAATGGGTTAACTAAGAGACATTGTCAGATTTCTTGGTTAACCCATTAGGCTGCAGAGCTTTCCCATTGACGAGTAAATTTGTCTGGCATTTATAGACAAGTAAGAATTTTACTAAGAAAAAAAGTAGGGTGCACTGGGGTGTATGGGTTAAAAGAAATACACAAATATTCTCCTAAATTGGCATGTGAATAACACTTTTGTAAACAATGTTGTTAATTTGTCTGTTTTTCTTCCCTTTTATCCTGTAGGCAATTCCAGCTTTTAATTTATGCATGCAGGGGGGATGGGAGTATGGTATCATATTGCTTATATTGCTGAAAAAATAAAAATGGTGGTTGTTTAAACACAGAGTGATAGCTTATATTTGAATATATTGAAATATTTTGGTTGTTTCGGCAGTTTTTATTGAAATTTTTCAGGATAATCAGCAATATGATACCGTACTGTACTCCCCATTCCCCCTGCGCACATAAATTAAAAGCTGGAATTGCCTATATTGGATAGGAACTTCCAGACATTCCTCAAAATCTTGAAGAATTCTTTGAGGTTTGCAAATGAACTGATCAATATTTTTTCTGAATGCTTGGCACAAATTTGTAAGAGACACATTTTTTTAAGGAAAAAGAATTGCCACGCATTTAGAAAGACCAGATATCAACTTGTGAATGTAAATTACAGCGCAATATATTACTCAGTTGAAGTAATGACAAACCAAAGGATTTTAAATCATGGCTTTCGTACGATGAAAATGTGAAATGACATGTTTTAAATCTACTCGGGAAGGTATATCCATATACTACCAGGTGTCCCAAAAAAAAACTTGCGCTGTTTGATTTAATGTAACATAAAAACTATAAAAGCTATTGCACTGAAATAAGTTTTATTGTATTCAGCAAGAGTTAACTTAGATTTTGATATACAACATTTGAATGTCCGTGCAACATTTACTGAGCCATCAACGTTTTAAATTGAAAAACATATTTGACAATTTTAAAAATTTGCATACAATTGCCTGTCAAATATTATTTGGTTAACCTTGATATATAGTTTTATTGTGGGCAAGAGAACGAATGAAAAACATAATTGTTAGATAACAAATTTATTCATTCGTCTTAGAAAGTATGTCCTTTTTCACGTATACAATGTCTTGCACGGGAAACCATAGAACCCAAACTCTTTGATCTTGTGTTAATCGCCGACACCCTTGTAAGCCTGGACACACACATCTGGTCCCAATGTTAATAAAATACTATTATTGTAACTGCTACTAAACAGATACCTTTTTTAAAGAGTCACATTGCATTGGCTTAATTACAGTAGCCATTCCATAGTTGATGAGTGGACTGGGGATGAGGGTTAAAAAGTGCCCAAATTAAGAAATGAACCAAATCACTAAAAAGACCACAACAAAATTAGCAAGCATACCAAGTTTGAAGACGTTTACATGAATACCCTACGAATAATAAGCTTTCGAAAATTGTGAAATTACTGATTAAAGATTGTTTTTGGGACGCGCGTCCCCCAAAACCAAAAATTACAATACATTTCATAGTAAATATCGCGATTTTCGAAAGCTTATTATCCGAAGGGTATTCATGTAAACGTCTTCAAACTTCGTATACTTACTAATTTTGAGGTGGTCTTTTTAGTGATTTGGTTCATTTCTTAATTTGGGCATTTTTTAACACTCGTCCCAATCCTCTCATCAACTTCGGAATGGCTAATAAGGGTAGAGTTTTATCTCAGACTAAAAGTATTTCATGCGCTGAAACATGAGGTACTAATAACTGTATTTGTATTAGCTAATCATACAGTCAGAGTGATTTGTCCAACGCAATCTCTGCCACCTTTGTTAAATGCCTAACAATAACATAACATTTCTCATGCAATTGTTGGAATATACACTGACGTCAGCCATGAAACAAAACATTTAGCAACTTTTTAACCTGATGTTTGTGATGTTACTCTGAGTGTATATCTTGAAAAATATGCCCGGCCACGGTGGGAATCGAACCTACGACCTTTGGAACACCAGCCCAATGTTCTGCCAACTGAGCTACGCGGTCAGGTCGGTTCGAGTAAGTGATATTTCGGAACAGAATCTAGTTCCTTCGATACCAATGTAATCTTGTAATATGATTTTTTCTGTGTTGGTGTTGTGTACTCAGGTACACAACGCCAACACAGAAAAAACTTTTTAAACTATTGAGTGGAAGTGCTCTCTCCTTGATGAGTAAAATTGGCATTTGACAGAGTAAAATGATGAAGTAGAACACATCAGGGCACAATGTAGTCCAGTCCCAGACCCTCTTCTGGCCGCACGGCGCGGCGGAGGAGGGTTCAGAAGAATTTGCATGCGCATGCGTCAACTTGTCCTATCAAAACACTCGCGATTGACTTCCGGAAAAGGGAAAACCCTTACACCTGTTCAACGCGCGCTAAAACGTAAACATCTCAAAGAAATATAAAATATCGATGTCGAATATACAAGGGACTCTGTCGGCCCGCTAGGAGAAATGTACTGTTCAATGCAGAAGATGAATATATACCAAAGCGATTCTCTCTTTTATAAAGGCATATAGTTTGTCCATCAGACGAGATAAGCCTCAACTGGACTGTCTCGCCGTTGCTCCCGAAATTGCACTAGAAATAATGCAAATAGGGCCGTAGAAAACTAAACGTTATAAAGAAAATATTAGGCCCCGAGAGAAAAGAAAAACAATACAAGTCTCGCCAAATTCGATTAGATATCCACCATCGAAAACAGCGCGTGTTGACGAAAGAAATTGTCGATTTTCAGCCAGATCATTGCAGTTTTCCAACGACAAAGATATTTAAATGTTGACCCGAACGTTTGTGTTCCATACGTTGCGACTATTTTAACAAACATGCAAAACTGCTGTAAATCGGTGTTTAAAATATTGCTGGTATGATATACAAAAGATGTTCAAGTCGCATATACTATTGTTATAATTAGAAAGTATAAATTTGTCAATTATAGCACGATAATTAGGATCGGTGAGTTTGACACTAGGTATTCCTTGTTCGGCCATTAAAAACAACAACAGATGACTGGCAATCGTTGTCAGGTGATGATCACAAAGCATCGCAAACATTCATCTTTACCGCGGGATATGTATAGTAGATCTATTGCTTATATTGTTGTATTTGAGCCAAAGTATATGTTACTACACTTAATTTGCCTCTTTAAGTATTCCTATTTCTCTCAAACAGCCCTTAAGTAAAAATACTGTGCTGAGTGGTTATATTACTACCTTAAAAAATAAGCAGAAACTCGACGTTTCGAGCGAAGGCCCTTCGTCAAGAGTTAGGGCCTTCGCTCGAAACGTCGAGTTTCTGCTTATTTTTTAAGGTAGTAATATAACCACTCAGCACAGCATTTTCACATTGGTACTACCAACACTGGTACAGACAGCTTAAGTAAAAATAGTCCGCGAATTCAAATAAAACACCTCAAATAATATCGAACAAATTAACTGTTGCCGTAGTCATGCACCGTGAAAATGATGCAAATCACGTACCAGTTTCAACAACTACGGCATTGCACAACGCTTAAGACCATGTAACTTTACATTCGCCTTTGTCTTTGAGGATCAATGCTATTGTTGATGACCATGTTGCCGTTGTATTTGCCAAACTCTCTACTCTTCCATTGCGACGGCTACTTTCTCTTTTGTAAGTAACTATAAGTTCTGTTAAAATGTTAAAGTGTTTACAAAATGTTTTGTGAGCAAACATTCAAGTGTGTATTTCCCCTGGACTATTTCGTCGAAACATAGCCACGGTCACAGGTTAGAAGCTTTGATACGTCTCTTGCGCGTTGAGGACAGGCTCAGAGGTTTTCGTGGTAGCGGTTTCTAACAGATTGTACTTTGTCTTTATGTACAGTAAGATGTCACATTCGTCTTCAAGAACAAAAACAAAATGGCGGAAACACGACAACGAAAGCTAGCGGTGAAACCACTGTATCAACGAATTTTCTGCCAAAAATATGGAGAAATTTCTTCTCAGTCAGCACTGCACGAGTATCCGAATTTTGCTTCGACATTGTGTATTTTCCTTATAGTAAACAGAGCTTAGCGACCTGGCGACCACCACATATATGTGGTGGTAGTTGACGCATGCGCATGCAACTTCTTCTGGACCCTCCTTCCCCTCCGCGCCGTGCGGCCAGAAGAGGGTTTGGGACTGGACTAGGCACAATGCAGCTTAATGGGTTAATCAGTATTTCAAGAAAAAACTGTCAAATTTGGCAACAATCAGCAGGGAAGATGTTGTATTTATGTAATTTCAATCCATTTCAGGAGATAAACAGCTTGATGGTTATCAGAAGAAGAAATATGTATGCAAATTGTTATTTATATTTTTGCTTGGACATGACATTGATTTTGGCCACATGGAGGCTGTGAACTTGTTATCATCTAATAAGTACACAGAGAAACAAATTGTAAGTGATATTTCACTTTTCATTATTTACCGATTTGCCATATCTTGCTTAGTTTTTGAAATATTTAGACCGAAATTAATAAGCTGTTCGCCATCTTGACCTCATTCTTGGCCTCGTTAAATATGGTTTTGATGACGTAGGAGTTGGGTTAACCATATCAAACTACTCTAAAATGACCGAGTAACAATTTTGAAATGTTTTTAATCATTTCTAAATTTCAGACGGCAACCAGAAAAAACGACGTTTTGGACCCATATTGATCGCTTACTCTCGAGATAAAAAATAGCGTGACCCCTCTCTTGACGTAATATGCATATCCTCAATAATCCAAGATGGCGCACAGCTCACTTTTTTCAGTCGAAATATTTTGAAAACTAAACAAGATATAAACAATCTGCAATAGAATGCTTGTGATGTTGCTCTGAGTGTATATCCACACCGGGCAAGCTTGAAAAATATGCCTGACCACGGTGGCTTGCCAGGTGTGGATATACACTCAGAGTAACATCACAAGCATCATACTCACCTGAGTACATTACACCAACACAGAAAAAATCTGTAAAAGAGTTTAATATATAGTTGTAAGAGTTCTTTCAAATGAACTGAACTCATTTTTATTGCCAATCTCCTTTAAGTAAATTTAAGACTGATCAAATATTAGTACCATTTCATTTAGGTGCAAATAAAGTATTTACGTTTGTTAACAATAGATAAAATATTAATTTATTTCAATTGTATTTGCATTGGTAGGGCTACCTATTCATCTCAGTTTTAATAAGTGCAAACAGTGATCTAATGCGTCTCATAATCCAAAACATCAAGAATGATTTAGCTAATCGTAATCCAGTACATGTCAACCTAGCTTTACAATGTATTGCAAATATTGGAAATACTGAGATGGTAGAGGCGTTCAGTGGCGAGGTGCCCAAATTAATAATATCTGGAGAAACATCTGACAGCGTGAAACAATGTGCGGCCTTGTGTCTGTTGCATTTGTATCGGATCAAAAAAGAGGTTCTTCACCAAGCTGACTGGACATCAAGGATTGTGCAATTGTTAAATGACAAACATCTGGTATGGATTTTATTTCTATCATTGTATACTAATGCTGTAGGCCTACTATATGCTCGATATCATATAGATGGAGCAGGTATTTAGTTTGTTTTACCTCAAAAGGTTGCCACAACAGCCTGTTTTATCCGAGAGGAATGTTTCATCAGAGCATCTGATGATTCTTGTTGGGTGAATGTTGGTTCTTCTTGGCTGTTGTTATTACCTCTGGGGCCGGTTGTTCAAAGGTGGATTAGCACTAACCCAGGGTTAAAATTTAACCCGCTGTTTTAGTTTGCATATTTCCGCATGTCCATTTATTTCAAAATGTCAGAAAAGAAAACTCCTATGATCCAGACATGATTTGTGAAGAAATGTTTCCAAATTTAAAAAGAAGCTGTTGGGAAGTGTACTTTGAATTTTAAGTTAACCTAGGGTTAAGCTAATCGGCTTTTGAACAACCGGCCCCTGACGTGTAACCTGTAACCTGACAGGTGACTGCAGTTTAACGTTTGAAGTAAACATTTTAATCCTCAATCTTAAGGTCTTCAATATTTCCCTCGGGAAATCCACCGCCACGAAACGTTCTGTTTCCCCTTTCCCAGTTCATACGTTTTAAAACATAAAAATACATAAAAAAGATTCGGAAGCGTGGGTTTTGCCACAGTCAAATCATGCTGAGACGTTTTGATGATGTTATTTCGAGTTTAAACTTGGCTAGTGGACTTGACATAGGAGAACATAGTTTATTATATTTATCGCATGGTTTATTATATTATATTTACTTTGTTTTTACGTGGCCATTTTGAATACTTAATTATTAGATCAGTGACGTTCTGAAAAGGCACATGCATGGTTACGGGTAAGACAGTCTTCACAATGTTTGCTTTTATAGTGTTTAATTATTGTTTTTATTGTACTGTTTAGGGCGTGGTTACTTCTGCAACTAGTCTTATTCATTCACTTGTTCAACGTAGTCCAGATGAATTTCAAGGATGTGTTCAAGTTGCTGTGGGACGCTTAAGCAGAGTATGTATAAAAATAAATACTGTAAGCTAAGTGTTTGAGACAAAATTACAATACGTAATTTGAAATTTCGTGGTTTCACCAAACGTGAAATTTCGCTCTTGTTATTTTTTCAATAACCACAAGCAATAAATGAACTGCCAGTAAATGATGTTTTAGTTGCTGTATAGGTTTACTGAGTGTATTGCTTTTTTGATATTTTATATTATACCATATTATACCGAAAGTTAAAGAACCCACTAAGTTGAGAATAAACTTGCTGAATAACTAAGCAAACAATGTTTAATTTCTTATTTATACCTGAGTTTTTGGCGTTTTCTCTTTAAAATATTTGAGCCTCTATCCTTTGGATCATTGAAGGCAACATACCTCTTGAAAATCTTTGGTTAAATCAATAAATCTACGAAATTACAAACAACATCTCACGAACGCCATATTGTTTCAGCGCGTGGTGTCCACGCGTCACATGCACGTGAGCGTGAAATACCATAATATCGTGCGGTAGATCTACCGTGAGATATAATATCTCACGCTGCATTGCGAAATCATGAATTTGAGTGAAATACCGTGAAAAATCACATCAAGTGGTACAAATGCTGTTGAATTTGAGGTATAATATTAATGTGTAGTAGCATAGGAGGGAAAGCGTTTTTTATTTCTTAGTTATAATTACATTATTAGTGTCGTTGTATTGTCGTTTAGATCGTGACAGCATCGTACACAGATCTGCAGGACTACACATACTACTTTGTACCAGCACCTTGGCTTTGTGTGAAACTTCTTAAATTACTACAGCTTTATCCACCTCCAGGTTAGAAGTTCTTAGTTGTTTTATCTTACATTTGTAAATATTTCTGCAGGGTTAACTGCTGGAAATCACCATACACAATAGACAATTCCCACTATAGACTAATTTTAAAACTAGGTAAGGAGATACAAATAAATCACCACAGCTAGAAAGGGCACACTAAAATGAGTAAAATTGCAGAGATTGGTCGCGAAATGTTGTAAAACGCGGAAAATATAGCCTTGCAAAGTTCACAAATTTTGTATACTTTTGTATTGCGTTGCGGAAATTGTTCCCATTTTTCAGTGCAGTTAATCCCAAACAGCAGTGCAATTTTCTGTAATCAGAGTGCAATTTTCTGTAATCATAGTGCAATTTTCTGTAATCATAGTGCAATTTTCTGTAATCACAGTGCAAAAATCTGTAACAAACTGATCTGATTGGTGGAAAAACATTGTGATGATTAAATCAACCAATCAGTTTAAAGCAATTTAGTGTAAAGAAGTAACGGTCACAGATTGCTCGAAAACAAAACAAACATGGCGCCGCGCTACACAATGTAAAAGTTGCCTTCACGTGTAAAATATGGCTTTTATCTTTATTTTTAAATGGAAAAGCATTTACCTTAAACGAGACTAACAAAAATTACATAGTTGAGTGGAATTTTCAAGCTGTTAGCATTGTATAATGTGATATAAGTAACAAAGCCAGGAAAGCTTGGCCAGTGGAATGTTCGTTATAAACGCGTAAGTTAGTAAAACTACAATTGTCTCGAACATTTTTATGTAAATTATTAATAAGTAGTACTGTAGCATGGTTTCTCGTGAAATTTGGATAAACATGCAGTCGTGAGTTTTTCAAAAACCCAAATAGCACTCGTCCTTCGGACTCGTTCTATTTTGAGGTCTTTGAAAAACTCGCTCGTGCATGTTATATCCAAATTGAACTCGAAACCATGCTATTACCTATACATATGTGGCATGCAATGTTTAACTACTTTTCCTTGTGTTACTGAATGATTTAGTTGATGATCCTGCGACATTAGGAAGATTAAATGAAGCTCTAGAAGCCATTCTCAATAAAGCACAGGTTGGTAAAGAATTGGTGAATTATTGAAATGTGCACAAACAGAGTCATTTGTGGGCCCATTCATTTTTAACTTTGAAATATGCTGGCTGTGAAAATGTGTTAATCATCTTGCTCTGGCTCAATCGCTTATGTTGATTTTGATAAATGAGCATCCCAATAGTGATTAAACATTTAAATGCGTTTTCCCCAAGAATGTAAATTTGCTTAAAGCATTGTTACTACCAAATATGAAAGGTGAAATACTATTCTTTATTATATGGCAAGCATCACTTCCGGTGAAATGGCGGACTGTGATTGGCTGAGAAGCACTTTCAGCGGTCCATTATTTCCCCGTAATGGACCGGCTGTCCATTAGTAAAAGCAGACGCATGCATTTTAAAACAAAACAGCAAAACTATAAATCAGCGGTGGATCAAGGTTTTTCTAGGGGGGTGCTGGGTGAGCCGCCGAGTGTTCCTTTATAATTCTTAGGGGGTGGAGGGAGAGCATTCAAATGAATTGGCTTCCTAACGGCTCGAGCACCGAAGGCGCAAGCTCCCTAGGGGTCCAGGGGCATGCTCCCGGAAAATTTTGAAAATTAGAACCCTAGAAATGCCATTTGCTGCGACATGGGGATTGAATTATGAGCTTCAGTTTGAATTCAAAAAAGGAAAAACCTTCGAAATTATACCATATTTCTGAATTTGATTTTTTTGCGCCCCCTTGCACCCCTGTTGACCAAGGCCAACAGGGGTGCGCACCCCTGTGCACCCCCCTATAAATCCACTCTTAAATTGAAATCTGAAAATTATAATTTAATTTGTTATTAATAAGATATTTGCGAATGGAAAAGAAAAGAAACATTGATACTTTTTGTTTTCTTCGACCAAATGTGTACCACGCTACTGATATGCATTTCAAATAATGCATTTCTTGTTTGTTTCAAATATAAATGCCTATATAAATGCCATGTAATAATCTTTTTATTGCTTGCTCGGTATGTACAGAGAAATATCGGACCTCGGTCTTTTTGTACAAACCTCGCCCTACGGGCTCGGTCTCATATTGTGGGGGCAGATGCAGCATGGACTCGTGATTGTTCCCTAATTATGGACATCCGAAATAATATATGCATCCTCTTCGCATAGCCATATATAGCTTTAGCCGGATTTTTTCGTTATAGGAACCACCGAAATCAAAGAAAGTTCAGCATTCAAACGCCAAAAATGCAGTATTATTCGAAGCGATCAGTTTGATAATTCACATGGATTGGTAAGGAAGAAGCTTAGTTTATTTGTAAGGCGAGATCTATCAGTGCTTCTGGGATGTGTACATGCATGTAGAACTGAAGAAAGACCTGAATCTTGCTATTATTCGTGGTCCCATAGACAAAAGTTCTTAATGCCTATCCTTGCTGTGCCAGTTTCGTTGTCGCCGCCATGTTTGGTAAATGTGACAAAAGACTTTCCTACTTTGCAATTTTAATTTCATCTAGCGAAAATCTCTTTGTCTTTTGAATCCCTTGAGAATAGTTCACAATATTGAGTTTTTATTTTTTAATTTCCTGTTCCAAGTGTTTCACAAAATATTAAAACCCCGTCTCGATCCTTGTCAAAACTGAAGTGTTTTCATTTGCATTCATGCAGTGTGTTTCCATGTCACGTTTTCTGTTTGTAGCGAACAAAGTTTACTTATACGGGCTTGCAACCAGCTTGGACAATTTTTAACCCACAAAGAAACAAATTTAAGGTAAAATACTAATGTGTAGCTATAATTAGTGCATCGAAATAGTTCGATATAGAATCAGCCTTTCTCGCGCCATGCAACCTGGCCTAGCTCACAGCTTTTGGGTTGCAAACCGCACCAGGAGGTCGGACAGTAGACTGTAACAAACGAAGGAGTGAATGAGTGAAGTAAAAACACAGTACTATTGTTTATAATCACTAGTTACAGTACTTAATATGTACATGGAAACATTTCTCAATTCTGATGGGCTAAGAGCAGTGCAATTATTTCGAAATACAGTGCCAAAAAATGAAATACAGTGCAAATTTCTTAATTTTTTATTTTTCAAATTTCTTAATTTTCTTAAAATATCATTAAAAATTCATAAACCTTGTGGCAAATCATGTCAGCCATAACATGTCACGTGGAGTGACTTTATATCTGATAAAACTCATCTTCATTAGTATTCTTTATATAATTGTTCATCCTAATTAGTATTCTTTTGTAGTCGTATTTTAAGCTATTCAAAACACTCGAACTCGCGTTTTATCATATCTAAAACGCTCGGCTGCGCCTTGCGTTTTAAATATGATAAAACACTCCTTCTCGTGTTTTAAATACTACTTAATTTCTAAATGTGACTTATGCACGTGACTGCATAATTTTTAGTCGCTGGGCAGAGCCTGCAGCGACTCTAGGTTTCGGCACGCATTTGTGTCGGATCTTGGATCGTTAGCCACAAAATGACAATTACGTCATTAATAAAAAATAAAAATTACGTCATTACTATTCGTCGCTGAATTCAAGATGGCCGCTTACTACAAGCGAATGGTATTATCGATTTTGTACATATTTTTTTATTTTTCCGATGAACCTTAAAAGTTTTCCGATGAAACAGTCTTTATAAAGCGAAAGTCATTTTATGTGAGTAAACTTGGAAGGCTACAAGCTTGAAATAGAGGACAAAAGTTCACAATTTTCAATTTTACAAAGTTGGAACGGGCCACAACCTTTGTAAATCGCAACAATAATATTCGCAAACTGCTGTTTATTTGGGTGCTTTTTTTACGGCTGTTGATGCAAATAATCCTGTTACGGATAGGTGGTCAAAAGAACATGGTGTAGCCTAACAAGACCGAAATACAACCACAGTGATCACCATTCATCACTACCTGTGTGAAATTTAAACTTTGCCGCTAGGTGTCAGGCTTTTAAATCTGTAATATTTCAGTCATTTTATGATCAATGTATTGTGTTTCTAACGCCGAACGGGAAAATGTTGGAGCCACAGTAATAGACTCTTTCAAGGTCAAGATGCCATAATGAAACACGAAGTGTGAGGGCTGCAAACACAATGGAAATTCCTACTAGTAAATTTGCAAGATTGTATAAACACAATGGTGAAAACAATAAAGCCTGCTACTGAAATAAAGCCTGCTACTGAGGTCAGTAAAAAGGATTGATGCACATGATTCGTACGCAAAATTCCCATTGGTCAGAAATAAATACAGTAGCTTTGTTTTTAAGGTAATGCCAAATTGTTGTTTATGTAATAATATTCCGTGCTTGTAATTGTACTTTAACTACTTTTGGGCGTGTTAATGACTGCCTTTGCTGCAGTCAATAACAGTTATTATTATTATTATTATTTAATATGTAATTCCTGGCCATTCGATGAAAATTGGAATATTTAGTTTTGAGATATTGGTGAAAAAGTTGGCCGTTATTGTCATATTTTAAATTAGCTTTGATAATCTAATGTATCAATTAATTCCAGCAGTTCCCACCCCTGGGCCTTTGCAGCTTTTCCTAATAACGGGGGTGGGGCTATTGCCGATATTTTTTAGCCCTGGGGTGAGGATTTTGACATTTTCCATCATGGGGGATTTCGTAGATTTGCTGGAAAACTGATATTTAATTTGATTGCAAATGGCTTGTGGACATAGCCATTTTCTTCCCAGAAATGGCTAATACCTCGGGGAGATGGGCACTGCTGGAATTGACTGATACGTAATTAACAATCGCCATTTTGATTGGTTGTTATTTTTGTGCATCCCAATCACTGTCCACTTTTTATTGACTTCAGTAACAGGCTTACCCTGTGGGCAAAGTCCTCTCGTATTTCTTCTCAGCACGAGAGAGACTCTGCAGAACTTGTGTATATTCTTTGTGGAGCCAACAATCCAAAAACTTGGATAATTATGAGTAATTTCAGGTTTGATACCAGTTTTATAGCCGGTTTTGATCCGAACCGGAAACTACTTATTAAATCTTCTTCTGGGAAATAGGCAGTTGCTTAGCAACCTTTGCGCATGCTCAAATGAATTTATACACAAGTTCTGAAGAGTCTCTCTCGCTTCTCCGTGCCGTGCCAAGAAGAAATACGAGAGGACTTTGCTCACAGGGTATAACAGGCTCTATTTCAAGCATCGAGCCTGACACGCAAGCTACCTTCAAAGGGCCTATTTGGCAACTTCTGTTGTGGTTACCCAGCCTGAGGCAAAAGTAATAAATTTTGAATTGTTATAAATGTTCTGTGAAGTGCACATATTTTTCCTGCAGTTAGGGACCAGTCCTTATTTATGGAAGAGGGAGGGGGAGGCAAAAGGTGGGGCCATGACCCCATGAGTATAAATAATTTACTAGAAGGGGGGGCATTAAATTTTTTGAGAAAATCAGTTGAAGGGTCAAAATGTGGAGTTGCAATAAATTTGTTTAAGCCTGGTTTCCAGTGTCCTCGAAGTTGGCCTAAGCCAGATAAATCCAATAAATGATATCAACCTCATACCCAGGGCTTCTGCGCTTATACACTGCTCTCAGAAGAAAGAGCAATAAGCGCAGAAGCCCTGCGCAGAAGACCTTATTTTAATAGCCCCAGCGACTAAACGCTCAACAGAGCGTCTTGTTTCATGTATATTATCCCCGAGCCAACGCCGTTCCGGGTGTAAGCCTGGGGCGAGGGTACTAATTCCGCCCGGCTATTTACACCCGGGAAAACGAAAGCATTAGCGAAGTCTGAAGTTCATCAATGATCGCGGGCGTGGGTCACTGTGCGCGTTGAGAGGGTGGTCATCCTCATTGATCTCAAAAATATGGCGGACTGTCATGAATAGCGAACGCTGATTGGTCAAATTTAAAATTTGCATTATAACGACTACATGACCACAGCGAATAGCAAACATTTCTTGATTTGATGATTTCTTACAAATATATTTCATTTTTGCAAGATTTTGTAAATTTCAAAAGTTTTTAAGAAAATAAAGGGGAAAGAATTGCTAAAAGAAGGGAGTAAAGGCGCCGACGTTAACGAAGATAAGTTTGTTTTAAATATAGATGTATTGTTCGCTTTATAATTGCTTTATTGTCGATTTCAGGTAACTTTTCAACACGCTGTTCTCAAGTTCGTTGCGAACTTGCCAATTACGTTGTCAAGTTCGGAAGTTGGGCGCGAACCTCGCAACGAAGTTCGCAAGTTCATTTCAAAGTTCGAACTTTGATTGTAAACAAATGTTCATAGTTGGAGTTGAAATTCCTGTATAAGGCCCTATGCACATATTACTGCAGTAAAATATTGGTCCAGTGGTCTCCCAAGACGAAAAATACCTTTTTAAATAAATTTATAAATGAAATTTTTACATTTGTTTACAATCGAAGTTCGAACTGTGAAATGAACTTGCGAACTTCGTTGCGACAAGGCTTGGTCCAGTGGGTTGTCAAAGGCTGATTGATTGTAAATTTCATTTAAATGACTACATGATAGTTAGTTGCCTAGATCCCAAATGATGTGAAACTGAAATTTTGATTAATAATTTATTTTGAGCTATGATGAAATATTTACATAATTGCTCAAGTTCTCGACACCAGAAAACGTTAAGTTCATATTTACACGTGTCCATGCTACTGGACACTTGTAAATTTTAACATGTTTTTTTCGCTGTTATAGGTATTTAGCTTTAGAAGGACTATGTGCGATGTCTCAGTCAGATTACTCTAGTGATGCTGTAAGGAAACACCAGGAAACTATTGTCAAGGCGTTAAAGGTCAGACCTCAGTTCTTTACAACTATTGGCAAACTTGTTAATAATCTGTTCTTTATTGTTTTTAGCTGCAGCGCAATATCATTTTCAATAGCAATAATCCAGTGATTCACGATTTTCCTGCGTTGGCGAGCATACTGCAAACACCGGGTTTTTTACTCCGGCTCCGGCAGGAAATTTTCAGCTCCGGCAAATTCGTGAAAATTCAAAACTTAATGAAAATTTCAAAGTGGAAGTACTGTCTTTGTTTTCGATTTTAACACTTCGCATGAACATTTCGTACTATGGTTGTAGCAAGCCGAGTACAAGGTTGTATCAATGCGAGTATTTACTTTTTCTTCAATGGATTTAGGTTTTTTTGCCGATGTCCGATAGTAGTTTGCAGCACAAAGAAGTGCTGCCGGAGTTGAACAAACTCCGTCTCCGGCAAAATAGGCAAAAACTCCGGCTCCGGCGCACAGCACCATGCGAGGATCTTAGCCTTGTCTTAACTAACTTCTATTTTGAGAACGATCTTTCACACGAGAATAAGAATCCGGGTGAATTTCAGCAAAAGGAAATACAGTCTGAATACAGTATGTCCCCCTGACCACTCAGTCTATCCATGGTTCGGGGGCTAGAGAAGAATTTGCACCTCAATCTGGAACATCAATTACAAAATGTTGCTAGAAACGTGTATTAGAAACTTGAAGTTTTTCTGTTTTATAGGATGAGCGTGATGTCAGTGTACGACAGAGAGCCGCCGATTTATTGTATGCTATGTGTGACAAGAGCAATGCTGAAGAAATTGTATCCGAAATGATAGTATACTTGGAACATGCGGATTACTCTATCAGAGAGGAAATGGTTAGCATTTTAAGGCGATATGTAACTCAAACTCGCCTTCTTAATTATTATGTGTATAAATTTTTACCTCTGAACCAAGGCCGGATTTTGGTGGAAATAGTAGGGGAGGTGGAAAACAATTTAGGGGAGGTGCAGCGGTCTAGCTCACAACCCCCATGGAAAGCTAGGGCTTACTGTAGATCGGACCAAAGTCATCGACGTGACGTATGCATGTAGTGTACATATGTATCATATAGTATACATGTGACTGTACGACTCATCCAATTTTGCCCTTCATTAAAATTACTACAAAGTTTCTTTCTAAACATTGCATTAAAAGGATATTTGACATAAGATGAATGGCTATCACTGTTTCAATTTTACAGGAAAAATTTTCTGATGAAGTGTAGATCCTAAGCAACCATGAAATCTTCACTTTGATCTATCATTGAAACTTTCCCAAGGGTAGGTGCATGACTTTACAGGGGAGGTGTAAAACGATCTCAGGGGAGGTGTGCACCTCCCCGCACCTCAAAATCGGGCCATGCTCTGAACGAGGGGAATTGGAACAATGATGCATTAAAGGAATTTACATGAAACATGGTAATGGTAACTTCATGAGTAGATATTGTCCACAATACTTTTAATGAGATTAACATGAATATAGCTTTGTTTCCTATGCCTTCACAGGTTTTAAAAGTTGCGATTCTAGCGGAAAAGTATGCCACAGACTACGAGTGGTACGTGGATACAATACTCAGCTTAATACGAGTCGCTGGAGATTTTGTGAGCGAAGAGGTAAGGCAATATTCGTGCGGGATATATATACCGGGTGGACTTAGGACTTACATCACACATTCTACAAGGGTTTTGAATTCTATACATTTATTAGACCTTACCAGTAGCTGGTGCAAAAAATGTAACTTTAGGTCCTCTGGCAGGTATATACATACTGTACATGAACTTGTGGTTAGAGCTCCACAACTGATTTCTGTAGTTCAGTTGGTTTAGAGCGCTACATCGGAATCGCAGATTCGATTCCTGCCAGAGGGCCTATAGTTGTAGAGCTGCTCCTTGTTAATAAATGTACAAGTGAAATTAGTAAATCTGATGAGTACGCACGAAAATGTGCAAAAGAAGGTACCTTCAATACTGAGTATCTATCGAGACTCAACATTTCTCCTTTCCTACTAATAAGGCCAAAAAAAATATGTGGGTTTCCGGTTTCTTCTTATAAAAACGTAGGTAGGGTAGGTCGGTTTTTACTTTTTTTTTTTAAACTTGTTTTTCTAATTTTCCGAATAAGCGGACGCCATTTTGTTTAGTCGGTGCTTCCACATCCAAAGATAAATTTTCCTAATATTGCCTCAAATTTCAATTTTCCACAAACTTTTTTCTCTAAGTGGAAACACTTACAAGCATGATCCAATAAAAAAGTTTAGGGTCGGGATTTCGACGTCCAAAAACTAGGTAGGGTTGGGAAACCGGAAACCCACATATTTTTTTTGGCCTAACTAGGAAATATTGGAACCTCTTCTAACATGTCAACAACACCACAGTAGATGTGTGCTGTTGGTCACACCATTTTACTGATCAGTAGTTTCCAGCCAAACACACAACAACCCCTTATCCATTGGTAATGTTATATAAATATGTGATGCCTTTTCAGGTGTGGTTTCGTGTGATTCAAGTTGTTATTAATAGAGATGATATACAAGGTTATGCTGCCAAAACAGTCTTCGAAGCGTTACAGTCACCCACATGCCACGAAAATATGATTCGCGTCGGTGGTTATATACTTGGAGAATTCGGCAATCTTATAGCTGGTGATCACAGGTCAAGGTAAAATATATAGAAAATGTGAATGAAATGTGGTAAATAATTTTGGAAGGTTTGAATTTCAACGCACAATAGACTCTTTTCATGATCATCATATAACTACAACTACCCACTGTAGAGTTGTACTTTTAGTGCGAAGTTTCCATAGGAACTGCATTGCTGTGTGCGGCAAGTTGAGACGAGGCATGTATTCATACATCTGTCCATCTACCTATTCATACATACAGGCAGAGAGTAAACTTCCGGGGGGTGCTGTGACGGTTATCAACTAAATATCGCAATATTTTGTTTGTTCAAGATGTGATTGGAGCGTTGTAGCAAAGATTCCCCGTTTGGGGTTCGACTTTATAAAAAGTGTATTCTAGCCAGGATCCTTTAGTCTTTCACCCTGTAATGTTGTATATGTAAGTAATGTAGATCTTGTTAAAGTTGAGGCAACACTTTAACAGCCCCATCTATATTTTTAGTCCAATGGTCCAGTTTAATTTGCTTCACAGCAAGTTTCCATTGTGTTCATCTTCCACGCGGGGTCTTTTACTATCGACGTATGTGAAATTCATTAACCTATTCCCGGAAATTAAACAACAAATACAAGAGGTATGCAACTTAGATGCTATTATTCCCCAATATTTTAGTGGAGTAGTATGTTAGAAACTGAAATTGAAGCCAATAAATTGGAACGTTTGTCTCAATGGTTCCGTATTGGTGATGCCCCGGATATCCATTGATCTGTCGTATAGAGGAGTAGACAATTTTTAAACTGAAGATTAGGCAATGTTTAATAGATATTGATAGTGAAGGCTGCAGTTCATGCAGTTTTGGTAACTAATCAACCACATTACAATTGCTGCGCACAAAAAGGGATGTTTAAAACGCGATATGAGGTCATAGGGGGAATGTGTGAAATGTGATTTATGAAGTACAAAACAATTTACTCAACGCTAAAATCCTTTCCGGACTGTCTCGGTCACTACTACAATGACTATATCATGCATGACTGATTTCACTGATTAGCATTTCATGCAAAGTTAAATTTGTTCATGTTTATATCTACAAAAAAATGCAAGTTTTTAGTGGTACGGTTTATGGAAATGTAACTACCTGAAAAATACAAAGAAAAATTCTACGTTTCGAGCGAAGGCCCTTCGTCGGGAAGCGAGTAGCTAATTAACTCCCGAATTTCTCCTTGTACCTTTCAGGCAGTTAAATCTCTATCAACCGAAGGTATCAGTCAAAGGCTACTATGGCAAAAACGTCCATGTTTCTCTCCATAATATCTTGAAGAACGTGATAATTTATTTGACCACCAGCCTCAATTTAGCCCCATCTAATAAGTCTTCGCCTAGCTTCATGCAGTGGCCATTTAAAAAATTACTTTTTTGTCAAGTATTAAAAATGTCGCATGCTTATGCTCCCTATTCACTGACCATTGTTAAACCAATTTCCCCATGCACCTATATACACTTTTTGGCAGTTATCCATTTCTGAAACTTTCTTGGATATAATATGTTGTTTTTTGTAGATTCTGCAACAGAACAGTAATTTACGCAGCAGTGATGCAGAAATCCAACAACGTGCTTTAGAATATTTCCAGTTGAGCTCCATTGCAACCCAGGATGTCCTGGTAAGATAACCTTGTTATATACAGCAGGGCTCATTGATATTTTTAGTGCCTGCAAGCAAAATTCATAACTTCAAAATGTGCCTGCAACAATGTATCATATTTAAGTTTTGTGAGCTAAATATTGTTAACACGCAATTATTAAAACATGACTGCGCAAATTCAAAAGGTGCGGCTCCGCATTTTAATGATGTCTGTTGTACAGTATAGAATCATCAAAGTGAGAAAGCTGTATTGACTCGATATTGAGTTCTTAGCTCGAAACAAGTACGTTGCATTTTGTCCGTCATTGCTTTCTAATGTCATGCAGATCAAGGCTACATGCAGGATTGCATTTGCCTTTTTTGACTCGCGATATCTGTGAGTCTTTGTAGAGTGGATCGATATCGCAAATACCGAATACCGATATACCGCATCAGAATACAGGTAAATTCCGGTATTTTTAACGTGTTTTTTTTAAGCCTGTATTTTTACTACTTGGCCTCCTGTAAACATAGTCCCTAAACATAATTCGACTGCTCTGGTCGGGAACCAGATCGATAAGATATATGATGAAACAAACTTTCAAAGTATTCCAACCCGAATTACTACGCGGTGGCCTCTTAATCGAAAGACTACTCGTAGCCGAAAATTGTATAGAAAGCAAATGTCTGACAGGCAGGGTTTTGTCCGGTTCCGATATTCAACCAAACCGATTGGCATCAATACCTAGATTATGTCTCGGAAATAATGCGTCAATAAATAATAATGACATTAACTGTAATTTGATCCAAATTCCGGTGATGACCTCGGCCGATGTCAACAATAACAGAAATAATGTGAGACAAACTTTAATGAAATGTTGTGTTTTAAATGCCCAGTCGTTGCGAAATAAATCTGTTGACTTCGTTGACTATGTACTTGATTGTAAACCTGATGTTGTTGCTGTTACTGAGACATGGTTTACACCAATTGACACTGCTGCAAAAATTGAGGCTGCCCCACCTGGTTATAAACTCTGCGATCATCCACGCCCCGACAGGACTGGAGGAACAGCGATAGTTTTTCGTGATACTCTGTGTACAACCAAGCTTCCAGCTGATGTCTTAAATTCCTTTGAAAACTCTGAGTGGAAGATCGTTTCTGGAACCTTTCGTGTACATTTTGTCGTCATTTATAGACCACCATATTCTACAAATCACCCGGTAATCGTGAATGCATTTATTGTTGAATTTTCGCAGTACTTGGAGACTATTATAATGTCGACGGATCCACGTATTATCACGGGTGATTTCAATATTCATGTGAATTCAAAAACAGACGGTGATAGTCTGAAGTTTGTCGATCTGCTATTGTCCATGGGTTTACAGCAACATGTCGAATTTTCTACACATGTTTCTGGAAACACTCTTGACCTGGTAATTACTCGAGAGGTGGACCCTATTTTGGGATCACCCCCTCGTCCGGACCACCTTTTCTCTGATCACATGGCTATCTCATTTGGGCTTAATTCTTCCAAGCCACTTCCTTCAAAGAAATGTGTAATTTTCAGATCATTGAAATCTATAAATATTACTAGTTTTATGAAAGACCTGGGTGAATCAAAACTATGCCTGGATGCTCCTACACAACTTGATTCCTTGGTAAGGTGCTATAATAATACGTTATCTTCTGTTCTGGATCGCCACGCTCCGCTGAAGAGGAGAATTGTTACCTCTAGGGCTATGGTGCCATGGTATGACGAGGAAATCAAACTTGCAAAGAAGGAAAGCGGAACGGAAATGGCGGACTACAAAAAAGACGGCAGATTTTAATAAATTTAAATCATTGAAAAACCATTGTACTCAATGAGGAAAGCAAAATGCTCCTTTTTCTCTGACTTTGTCAGAGAAAACAGCAATAACCAAGGGACTCTATTCAAAGCTATCGAAGGAATGCTAGTTGAAAAAAATGCAATAAGTTTCCCCGGACGTAAAGAAACAGCTCTCGTTAACGAACTTGGCAAATATTTTGTTCAGAAAATCTTTAATATCCACTCTGAGATAAACAACGAGATTTCTTCAAATAATGATGGTCACGTATCGATCCTCCAAGTGATGACAATGAGGAGTATCCGGGTGATGTATCGCATTTTGATGCGTTCGAGCCCTTGTCTGAGGATGATGTTAGAAAGCTTGTTGTGGACTCGCACAAAAAATCCTGTTACCTTGATCCAGTGCCAACAGATTTCTAGGTGAAATGTCTGGATGTGTTACTTCCTGTGATTACAAAAATAATCAATATCTCACTTGAAACTGGGTACTTTCCTAGAGACTGGAAGGAAGCTATCATTCTTCCCATATTAAAAAAGTCTGGGCTGGAGTCCGCTTTTGAAAATCTTCGTCCCATCAGTAATTTTTATTTAGCATATATTTCAAAGCTTATTGAACGAGCAATATATAATCAAACGCACGATCATATTCTTCGATGTGGCTTTTATCCAGTTTTGCAATCTGCTTACCGGCGGTATCACTCCACAGAGACTGCGTTACTCAAAGTACTCAATGACATTTTGTTAAAGTGCCACTAACCCCCTAAATATTTTTTTTCAAATAATAAATAACCGCTATTTATGGAGTACAAAACTGGAAAATTTTTTTTAATCGGTTGAATTCTCGCAATTCTATGGCTTCTCAAAGTGTGCACACATTTGTTCCACGACCGAGTTTTGGGAGACTGGTGAGAGAGGAATGTGTGACGTCAATTGGTGAACTCATGCGAAGCCTCCTTGTAAACACTATACATTTACCATTACAAAGAAGCTTTAATTTCGAAGAATAATTCGCGGTTTTTTATATCTTTTTGCAATGTCTTCGACGGATGGATCTTCCGAGGCTTCTTCGTTCGCATCAGGGAACGATTATTTATCAGAATATGACAAAATGTAGGGATAGAAGGCTTAGAAGCCGATATATCTGGTTTCAAGCGATGATGATGCCTTTATATCATGCCTATGCAGCTATGCAGCCTATGCTCGGGTTGATGATCCTGTCGCTGATGAGGAGTGGACATGAGGGCGAACGAGATCATTAAAGACGAGATATTGAAGCGTTTGCATGAAACTGCAAAACTTTATGAGTGGTAAGTCGCAAATTTTGCTTATACTATGCTAAACTATACTATACTATACTATACTATACTATACTATACTATACTATACTATACTATACTATTTTAATAAACATATTTACGTTAAAGATTATTTCATGGCATGGCAAGGCCACTCATGTTGTCAATATTACATAATTTATATTAGGTGCAAATGTGAAAATTGTAGCCTGGAGTTTTTGAGTAATTGGCAAGAATGCAAATATATTGCTGTTGTGAGCTGGAATGTTGCTACTTAACCATTTAATAATAAGCTGCTATGCACTCCTACCTACAAATCTCTCTAACACCAGGCAATTTTATTTGACAAAGGAACATGCGGAAACTATATGTTCATGGACTTTCCCTAATCAGCAGTATCAGGCAGAGTAAAATTACAGAACACCATTTGTTTCATATTTCACTTAGATAATGATAGACCATTGAGAGGAATGTTGGAAGCTGCACTGTGTCTCAATAGTGTGCTCATATTTATCTTACTCTGTCTAAACAACCAGACAATGTTACTAAACATTAATGGGAGAGTTACCTATATTGAAACTCAATAGACCTTACCGTTTATTTACTTTTGACCCAATGCCTCGTTTTCATGTGATATTAAAACTCATGTTTTGTGCATAAGAGAGTAAAGAATAAGCTTGTGATTGGACTTAAGATCAATGAGAGACAAACTTGTGCAGGAAACATGAATATTTAACTTTCATGTGTGCCTGCCATGCTAAAATAGGCAAACATGGAAACGAGGCCATTTGGTCACTAGTGAATAAATGGTAAGGTCTATTGTTTCCAAAATTTGTGTAAAAATGTAAAGACTAAACAGACTGTTCAACATATAGATCTTTATCCTCTTTCAGGGATATATTTATGGGGGTACACACTGTTCCGTGACCAGTGTCTCCAATAAGCATCAACATCTCAAAAATGAATGTTGGTGTAACCAAAATCAGGAACTATATGTATGTATAGTTTCTATATATAGCTATTATAGTTTGGGTTGTTCTTTGTAATATAAAATACTAGTTTATTGAAATAGTTTTTGCATTTGTCTACATATGATTACTTATGATAAAGTTGTTCATTTCTTCTAGGTTTTTACATAGTGTGGCATACAGAAAGTTTACAAGGATGGTGTATGGTGTAATTGGAAAAACAAGAATCCCACTGCTGCACGTGCATACCATGCAATAAGGAAGACATTCCCTCTCACAAAAGATGAATCATTTACCAGATTTGAAATGGAGGAGGATAAAATATTTGAATAAATTAATGACTAAGCTAACATACAGTAAAACCCATCATATAAGAACCTACCGTAGATGTTTACAAAATAACAGTGTTTCCATTACTTTATAAAGAGCTTATTTTCTTTAATTGATGTTTAATTTTTTGTTTCTTCGATAAAATAAGAAGCTGTTTTGGAATTCTAGTCTGAACTGGTTCTTTTGTAAAGCAGGGTTTTACTGTACTATTTAAATATTATACTCTAATGAAACCTATATGGAACATATTTGGTATCAACATAAATCAGTTTTGACTAGTGTTCATCAGGGATAGAAAACAAGTAAAGTAGAGCAAACTTGATACAAGTAGTGCATAATATAATTTATTTAACAAATATAACCACCCTGCCTATAAAGCACCCTCCCTATTAAGCCCCCTCCCTATTAAGCCCCTTCCACAATAATCACCACCCTCCCAATAAATACCCTCTCTATTAGCCCCCCCTAATAAGCACTACCCTCCTTATGAAGTACCCACTCTATTGAGTTCTCTCCTAATAAGCACCACCCTCCCTAGTAAGCTCCATCCCTAATAAGCACCACCCTTCCAAATATTTCCCATCTGTTAAGACCCTTCCTGCTGTAATATAAGCCCCAATCTCTATTATAAATCCCCAAAATCCTGAATAATACTAATATGCCCTTCTGAAAAAAAAAACACCTCCCAATATGCCCTCCCTCCTCAAATGCCTTATCCATATAATACACTATGATGTGCTCCTTTCATTCCTTGGACAGTCTGTAACAAACTTGTGTCCTTTCATGGGTGGTTGTTCACATGCCCTGCATTTTGGTGCTGCTTTAGACTTCTTTTGGCTCTGTTCAACAACGTAGTAGTGAAACTACAGTAACAAAAAGATTTATATTAACAGCAAGCATACTGGGTAACTTATCTATGGGCCACAGGCAGTGGGCAACACTTTGCAAAGACACCGTACTCTTTGAGTTGCTTGGCTGCCTTTTTAAGATCATCTTTGGTAACATTGAGAAAAGTTTGAAATATTTCTTCGACATAATCTGTACAAATCAAACATGGATATATATATACATGGGTACATGGTATGCATTGATCAATATTTCACTATAATTATTTTGACAGTCAAATATGATACCCTCCTCAGACATCCTTAAATACACACCTATGGGTCATAGTGAGTGGGCATATTGACTTCACTAAAACATAGGCATAGCAAGAGACATAGATGGAGAATTATATCACTGTATAATACTGTATCAAATTGCACACGGAAATTACAAAAATCTGCAAGGCTGAAGACAGAAATAACAAAGAAAGCTCTCACAGACTAAACGAAATTGTCTTTCTTATAAGCTTTACCCAATTACTGTATATCAAGTTTAAGTGTTAGCATGTTATATAATGATATGTTTATTAATTAAATCAGTTTAGTCAAACAAATTCAAGTTACGCACAAATATGTATAAAATACAAAATTAGCATACCATTCTCTTGTATCTGTCTGAAACTTTCTGTGCGTCAGCTGATGGCATGATTGTTGGGAATACACAAATTCCAATCTCGTCCCTTTTGAGCCATCTGTTGCCAACGAAGCTTTCACCTTCGACATGGGAAAACCGTCGCAAAAAATCCTCAGGCTTGAAATGCTCAGAACATATGACTAAATACGACGTCGGCGTCCATTTTGCACGTTTGAGGCTTATTACGAAGTCAGTCCATTTCTTTCGGTTTTTTTTCGCTTCGGGCCGTTCGTCCCCCGAATAAGAAATTGCATGCAACGATAATTCTTTTTCCTTATCTCCTATGTTGCTACAACCGGCAACAACGCATCTTTTCGGCATTTTCTCGCCGTTCGCATGCCTAACAAACTCGCCTAGCACTGTAAACACTTGTTTTGACACAACAGCCGGTTCACCAATTGACGTCACAAGCCCAGATCATCGGCGCTCGCTCGTGGGACAAAATGGCGTCGATTTTAGGGCAATTTTTCAAAGTTTGAGAAGCCATAGAATAGCGAGAATTCAACCGATTAAAACAATTTTTTCATTTTTGTACTCCATAAATAGCGGTTATTGATTTTATGAAAAGAAAATTTAGGGGGTTAGTGGCACTTTAATATCCTCACTAAATGCAATTAAGTGTATCAGTTTCCAAAAGAGGTGTTTTATTCAGAGTAAATGCGATTAAATGTAACTTTTTATTTAACCACCTTAGTCAGCTTATTAAAGGTGTAAACACACATTTAATATCTTTAGTATCTTTGCTAAAGCTGATTAATGACACGCTTTTCGTCCTGTGTGCAATCTCTTCAACTTCAACAACTTACAAGGTAAGGTTAGAGCCAATATTTGAGTTTTAAGAATGTTATTTATCGGTAAACACCACACGAATGAATTTATAGCCCACCAGA